TTTTTTTAAAAAAATACATAAAAATACTGAGGAAGAAATCCTCAGTATGTAGCTGAGGTAAGTAAATGTGGTTTTTCTACTGTTTGTTTGTTTTTGTTTAATGAAAACATATTACACATTTGGAAGGCCTTAAGAAAATGAATTCAATGTTGGATTCTGTAATTCTTTGACAAAACCTCTAAAAATAAAATGGTTTGGGTTATTATTTCTGTGGGCTCAGGTTTTCTCAATGATTGGATATTCATTACCAAGGCTGTGAAGAGCCAACGGAGTTTTTTTCCTAGGATTTGAAATGTCATGAGCAAGCACTGTTCAGTGTATTAGTTTTCAGTGCACAAACTGCACAGCACCTACTGTGACGCTGCCTCTGGATGTGGATGTAGTGCGATAAGACTTCATTCAAGACTACTGTTAGAGCCAATCGTACAGAATGCAAGTCCAGCCAAAGCAGCACTTCTCTCATTCTACTGAGCTTTCCACAGACCTTGTCTCAATATGCGTTAATACTTACTAACACACATTTTTCAAGGAAAACCACAGATTTTGTAGAGAGGAAGAAAAATATAGAGGCAAAATAATCTTGGTGAGGAGAGAGGAAAACAGAAAGTGGTTTTAAGATTAGTTTTACTAAAATGACCATGTTATTTCTTCCCAGGAAGTCTGAGTTCATGAGCAGGAGTTCTTCAAAACACTTAATCAGGCCTTTGAAGTAAAAACTTATGTCCCAGTTTTTTGGCAGGTATTTCAGAAATCAGTTTACTCTGATGGCTGATCGTGACATAACCAAAAGCGTGTGCCTGGTTAGCTGGAATTCTCTAGATTTACAGATGCCGTGGTAGTTGCACCGATTATGCTTTGCTTGTGGTTATCTGGAATTCTCTAGATTTACAGATGCCGTGGTAGTTGCACAGATTATGCTTTGATTATGCTTTGCTTGCTGCAGTACTGACACAGGCTGTGGACATAGGAGGGCACTGATCATCAGCTGCCCGAGAGCTTTGTTCTGCTGCCTGAACACCAGGACTACAACAGCAAATCTGAAACATCTGACGTAGTCTGTTTCCTCTCTATTTAAAAAAGGCTTTTTGTCTGAGAGGTGGGGTTTGAGTAATTACTTGTCCTAATAAATTGTGATTATTCTGCATACCATTCATTTACGTGTCATAGTAATTGTACTTAGGAATCAGGTATGTGGTTACACTGTACGCTTGTCAGTCTGCAGTTGGATCTGAATTCACTCTGCAACCACCCAGTGAGTTCAAGGTATCCACTTTACCCATACTTCTGACGTATACTGTTTCTGTTACAGAATGCCATGTTACGTTATCTGTATCTGCTGGTTAGAGTTCCACCTTGCATAATTAGCGTCAGACACACAAGTAATACTCTTTATAGAAGGCTTGCTTCACATTTCAGTTTACACACTAGGATTCCCGGTGCTTTTACAACACTGGTCCTGTCCTTACTGTTTTTCTGAACCCAGCTGATAAATTTTGATGAGAATTCTGCAGAGCTAGTGGAAAATCCCTAGGAGCCGTACTTTCCCCCTTTCACTGGATATATAAGCTGCCTATATACAACTTGGCAAGGGAAAGTGACTGTTCAAGCTGTATATTGGATCTCCAGTTAGGAAGCAATGCTAGACTAAAATTGGCTTTCAGGACACTTCTAACATTCTGTAACAGGAAATCTCATCTCTAAGCTATGTGGCCTGGGTCTGAGCCCAGTCTTCTGCCCTTATTTGCCTTTTGCATAAAATCCATACTAAGGTGTCTGTATTTTGAAGCCCACTAGGGTTTAGCAGACCAATTTACAGCTTTGACATGCGGTGGGGATAGATGCCGAGCCACAGTTGAGAGGTGGTTTAGGAAGCTACTCCAGGTTGCCTCTCAGGGACTAACTGGCACTTCTTCCTTTTGCACTGCCCCGTCAGCCAAGACCAGATCCTAACAGTGCAAAATGTACTGTACAGCTGGGCTACGTTTTAGGCCAAAAGAGGCAGCTAAGTCCCAGGGCCTGGAGGCCACCAGCCTCATCTGTAAGGGATGTTGTTCACTGCTGCCTTCTGAGAACCAAGGGAAGGACAAGATCTTGTGGAGTTCAGTTCTTACCTCAGCTGGAAAAGGTCTGAAATGTCACAACTTTATATATAGAGTGAGTCAAATTAGACTCTAATCATTAAGCTTCTGGCTTAAACTCTGTTCAACTAGGAAGCAAGCCCATGTGCTCCAGCCCTTTGGATCCAACTTGCGCACAAAACACTCATGGCAGAAACTGAAGGTATTTGTATGGAACATCACTAGTTGACTGTTTCTAATATGAGATTCTGTTACTTCTGGGTTGTTTGGGGCTTTTTACAGTAGCTTGAAGGCAAATACCTTCTGTTCTGCAGTAACAGTTGGGATGTAAGGGATGGATCTGCAAAGTCACAAGGGGGGTCTCATGCTGTGCTCATCAATGGATTACCTGTCTACCTGGTGATAAAGTATTAAGTAATGTAACTAACAACTGTCATCTGCTGGTTGCTTTTTTTTATTCTGTCTGAAGGAAAAGGAGTGTTTGCAATAGAATTCTTTTGGGGAGAGTGTTTTTACTTCAGATGATAGTGAATTATTTTTTTATCTAATACATACAGATGCTTACAACATTTAGGTCAAAGAAACATATCACCCATTTGGAGACCCATTCAGTCCATCTGCAGTCACTCCAAGTGCCACAGCACTGCACGGCAACAATTCATCTTAGCTTCCAGGTAAAACTCTAAGCTATAAAGTAAGACCTGATTATATAGTTAATGGTATCATTGGCTGGGTTGGGGATGGGTTTTGGAGGTGTCAGGAGGCTTGGGATGGGTTGTTTTTGGGGGGATGGGGGAGTTGTAGGTTGAGGGGGGGAGTGCTGAGGGAGTCTGAGGGCAGGAATTTGATAGCAAAGCTGGTGAAAGCCTGCTGTGCTACCCAGCACGCTCAGGAAAGCAGTCTGTGCCATGAGAGAACGTGCTTTGGCACCGACAGAAGAGATGGTAAGCAGTGATGCAAGGAGCAGCCAGGAACGAGCAGAAGGGAAGTAGCTGAGGGGGAAATGAGTCAGATAAAGTGAGTAACAAGCCAAGGGGCTAGAGAGTTCAGCTGGATCCTTGTACTTCAGTATCTAGAATCAAAATATATGTATTAAGTGATGTTAGTGTTCAGCTACCATTAATACTGGTATTATACCAATATCAATAGCATTAGTATTGGTGTTATTAGACAGTGCTCTAATGAGGCTTGAGGGACAGGACAGAACACAGGTTGGAGCCAGGGCTAGTCATGGAGGGAGAGGGAAAAGGGAAAACCTAGGGAGAGACAAGACACTAAGCAAGTCCTGGAAGTTCAGTTGGAGGCAGAAAATGTCACATTTAATTTTAAAAAGAATAAAAATCTTTCTGAAGCCTAGTACAGAACTGTTAGCAAAATGACACATAGTGGTAGTGAAGTTCATAGTTAAAGTTACTTACGCTGGTGGACTGTCTCCGCAGTACTTCCCAATTCTTTTAGCATCATTGATTTCCCCACCATTAAACACTGCAACGTAGTCATATCTGCAGTAGTTGTCTCTCTCCACATCAAACTTCTCAAACTTTA